GACCATTTGGATATTTACATCATTCGCGTGCCATACAAAATTCTCAACTTACAAATTAGCTATGAAAAAAGCTCCTAGGCGTATTGAATTTCGAGTCCCACCTGCGGTTGCCTTGGCAGGGCCAGACCGAATGATTTCAAGGGCTGGGCATTCGCACCCCTGCCCTAGACAGTGGCTGGTGCCTGCTCCCTAGCTGGCCTGGGGAGCAGGCACCAGGGGAATGTGGGTGCTTCCACCTCAGGTAAACCTTTCACATACGGCGTGGTCAGAACATCTAACAGGAGCGAGCTGGGCCTTCCTCCAGCTTGCAGAACAGGACGTACCAGCTGCTTTCGTGCCAGCTTGGCTACTGGACACGGACTGTCTCATGTGTAAGGTAGAATTCTAAATACGCTCACCCAAATCTGGTAGCAAGGTTTAAAGGAGTAGCTCGCTCTCCAGATCAGATTTGTCACCAGATTTACCTACCAAATGCAACAAAACACTCCCAACTTGATGAGGGAGAAAGGCTCTTTTAGGAAACTGCTTCTGAAGAATTTTCCTGGGGCGTCGGATGGCGGGGGGTGGGGGGGGCAGGGAGAATGTCTGTAAAATTGCAAGTTGTAAATGGGGTTTAGACCAAAGCCCTGAACCTACTGAGCTCAAAAAGCAAGGCATGAAAGCGACCGACCGGAGTGATGGCGGTTTGTGTAGACAGAGGAGCCAACAAACCACAGGCCACATCCACTGTCTACAAAGCAAACAATGTAAATACCAGATTCCTGTTGGTTAGTGAAGACCCTTTAGATTAGAAGAGAAAAATCATGGGTGCAGGCCTGGGGAGGGCAGCTCAGAGGGGTCTGTGCACACATTGTAGCCCACAAGGGTTTTTAATCACGTGTGCACATCAATGTCTGCACAATCTGGGCACCAGGGGACGTTATCAGAGACATAGAATCATACTAAATTCGTTTTTAATTGAACACTGTTTTTTAACCAGATGCTGTATAGTTCAACTGACTTCATAAAACCAGAGGACTTGAGGGGAACATCCTACTCTGTACCTAACCGAAGCACCACCTACCTGATATCAACTAAAATGCCACGTGGATTTCAGGATCTGGACCAGCTTCTCTGAGATGCATAAGCTTTCAAACGAATCTGCTAACCAAGTGCCAACGTCTACACACGAGGCTTGCAGCAGGGTTCCTTAAGGAACCCCCAAGCTCGTCTATTTACTTACAGAACACTGGACAGAGATGGGCTGCAAAACCAGAAACACCAAGAGTTAACCAGCAACGAAGGCAAAGCGTTGCTTAAGCCTGGTCGAAGTGGATGGGCACAGGGAGTTACTTTTGATACTATTCTGAAAAGTCACTCGAATTTGGCTTTGGGATATACTGTGATGAAATTATTCAGATAAGGCCATGTTTAAAGCCACAGAATTTCACAACATTGTCACAAATGACCAGAAAATCTGCAAACTGTTGCTCCATCTTTCATTCCAGCCTTAACCTCTCCCCACTCCGACCTGGAGACAGGGCTCCAGTTACCAGGTCTGAGAGAGAAAACTGTTTTGGTTTTCAAGTGTCTAGTGGAGCCTTAGAAAGAGCACAGAAAAACGTGCCCTTGGAGCCAGCACTAACGTCAACTTTAGCATATGAATTCTGGGAAAACTTCATACCTACTGTTTTATTTAATAATACAATAAATTTTGCATGTGCCCCCCAGCCGGTGTGGCTCAGCAGTTGAGCATCAACCTATGATCCAGATGGAAGTTTGCTTCCCGGTCAGGGCACATGTCCAGGTTGTGGGCTCCATCCCCAGCAGGGGCGTGCAGGAGGCAGCCGATCAATGACTCTCATCATTGAGGTTTCTCTCCCCCTCCCTCTCTTTGAAGTCAATAGACATATTTATATAAAAATTTTTCTTGCATGTGCCTCCAGAACTGTACATGGCAGTAACTTACAAACACCGTAAGATTTTATATAAACATAGCTATGGGGCATTTCCTTACAAAACGGTTACATTTGTGAAAGAGCTTTTAGCCCCCCACTCCTCTGTTATCTGTGGTTAGTTTTTCTACATTCGTTTCACAGGAACCATATTAGACTCCGACGACAGTTTTTTTTTTACTGAACTTTTCGGTGGCAGGGATCCCATTCAAAAGGTCCCCTTCCCCCAACCACCTCCTCCTGGTGCCTTCCCTCTCGATCATCCCCCTCAGTTGCCCTTAAAAAGAGCTATGAGTTACTGAGGTTTGTGCGGATCCCAAGAGCCACGGCGTAAAATACACAGGTGGGTAGGACACGTGCTGTGAGGGGCCATCAAGAGAACTCTTGGGACCCCTTCCTGTTCTTTACTTGTGGCTGATGGATCAGAAAAAAAAAAATAGGCTTAGTGACCACTGCGCATTATTGAAAATTCAAACACTGCAAGGGAAAAATATTGGGGGGAGAGAGAAGATAATGGGATGGATTTTCGTGTTGCTTGTGTTACTCTAATAATGTAACCTGCTATCCTAAGCAACTTCCTTGGGGGGCCACAGGGAAATGGGCTTCCTCGTAAATCACCTGAGTCTATCAGTAAGAACCCACCACTGTTAGTAAAAACCTAGGCTCCAAACAATACAACTGAAATCCAAATATTTCACTGTAGCCAATAAAGGAAATGATCTCTTATGACTAGAGCCATAAAAAGCATAGGAATGTCAAGTTCGTTCAGTTAAAATATTTTAGGAAACGAAATGAATGACGATCTGACCAAGTCATGAGGTAGATTCTACCATTTCAAATTTAAAATTCCCCTGTTCTCCGTGATGAACTGCCCAGGAGCGTGATGCCCCGAACACCCCACAGGCAAGTGCAGATCCGCAGGAGCGCCTCTGGGAGTCTCACGCCCAGCGCATTCTGTCCCGTAAATGATACTCGCAGCAGTAACGTTCTCTGCAGGTTTTCCCCTTTGCTGTACATTTTCTTGGGTTCTCCGAGTCATGACATTAAACTTCTTGCAGACACCCGACAGACAGACTTAACATGACTGACAAACAGGACGTGAAGACGAGCTCTGCAGAACACGGACACACTACACCCCGGGCACGCAGAACAAGGATGTACTGACTTTGTCTCCTCTATGTCAAAGTCTTTGTGCTTACTGTTCAGTAATTCCAAAAATATGTTAATTCAGAAACTAAAGAAAAAGCACACAAGAATTTGAAGGACTTAAAATATATTTTTTATATCGATAGTCTGTGTCTTTCTACCCTAATACATGATTATTGATTACATACAGGATGAGGTGAGGTATTTGTAAAATAGCTGGTAAAAAATAATTAATATACAGTATTCTACATGAGATGGAACCTTATGAACCTTTAACGTCCTCTGAAGTGTTCAATTCATCACCTAAATTAAACGGTTGTTTCCTCAAACCACGTTAAAAAATGGATCTTACATTTTCCCAGAATTTGTGCAGAAAAGGGAAAGCATATAATTGGCAATTTCTATGTCTCACATCCAAAGTAATGCATTCACACAAAATGAGGACCTCTCCGTTTAGCATAAAAAGAAAAAATACTGGATTCGAGATATAAAATCTCTGAGCAATGGTTAGTTAGGCTAATTCACCAACAGCAAATAAATTCAAGTGGTCAACAGTCTTGAAAATGCTTTATTGAAATGTGTGACTTATGTGCAGAGATGTGTTTGAAAAGACCACAGCTTGAAAACTGGTTTTGGAAACGTTTCAACACCAATTGAGGAAAAGAAACTCGCTACTGGACTGGACGCCTGGGATAGCCAGGCGCCTGCGGCAGGACTCTCCTTCAGAACATTTCCGTCACAGGAACTCAAGGGAACAAAGCTATCGTATCTGGAAACTGTTGGAGTCTGAGGTTGCAGAGGAGGAGAAGCGACAGTTTTTAGACATGTGGGGTGACTTCTTTTTTGGTTACATTTGGATGGACATGGACTTCACAGTTCTCGGAAGAACACCGGCGGGTGTTCAAGTCTCTATGCTTGTGTTGCAGAAACAGAAACACACGGGAAAGGAAGAGGGCTCAGGGAGAGGAGACTGAGAAAAGGGCTGAGACGGGAACTGGAACAAGACATGATTAGGTTAAGTCTATTATAAATTTATCAGAAGCTGTGCGCACCTTTTTTTAAAAGTCCTAAATTTACATTCCAAAAACTGCCCCCCAAACCCCAAACCCACTGTCCCTGCCTTGGAGCTATTGTGAAAGTCTATGCACAAAAACTGCAACAGAAAATTAAAAAATATCCCGGCCCCTCCAAACCCCAAAAAGCTGTACAATTTTTTTACACATAGGATTAATAATATAGGCATATAGGTGGCATGATTCAATTAAAAGGCTTTACTTTTTATGCCTGAAAAAAACCAATAAATAAAAGGTGCTACAGTTAGCATTAAGAATTTGGTTGTAATATATCGACAAAATCTGGGAAGGCAAATCCTCCAAGCTCCCCTGATACTGATCTGTCTCAGCAACTATGAAGCACATACATAAATAATGCAGATATGATTGAGAATGTGAGATTTTCAAAAACAAAGACGACATAATTCAGGTTAATTTTGTTGAACAGCGAATAAATGAAATTCATCTACACCTGAATAAAACATATTTAACAATTGAAAAAATTTTAAACAACCACGGAAAGTAAAAACTTGGAACAAACATGAACAGATTTGTTTTTAGGGCACACGCGCACCCTGCAGCAGATCCCAACAGTGGCGTTACTGGTGTGTCTTCTAGATGAGTTACAGAGACAGGCTGAGCTCCACGTGGGAAAGAGAATTAACAGGGCGACAGGACAGTCACACAGGGCGGAGCGCGACACCCGCTACAACTCCCAGATTCCACTGCAGAGCTGGCTTTATGCGTAGGAGGCACACAAAGAAAGGTGGTTCAGGCAGACATTATTCAAGAGCTACTTCATCACGTGACTCTTGCCGTGTAACCATTGAATAATGTTTGGGAAAGCTTTGGGCTTTTATTTTTGTTTAAGTTTTACTCCTTGTATTTAATTTTTTAAATAACAAGGTCACTAAAACTCATGCACGCTGCAAAAAACCTCATGCAGTAGTTAAGGTAAACCATCCAAGCAGTTTTTATTCATTAATATTCATAAATACACACAGCAGCTTCATTAGAGATTTCAATTTTCCTCTTCAGTTTGAATGTGGAGTATTAGGAGAGCCTTTTGCATGTCAAGGTACAGGAAGCAGAGATCACCCCTGCACTGCTACCTACATTTACCTGCTAGAAGTAAAAATTAGTTAAGTGGAAATGATTATCATATATATTTTCTCTCTTCCTTTTGAATGTACACAATGTAACAAGAGTGACAGACCTGAAATTACAATCACCAAACAAACCCAAGATAGTTGTTGTCCACTTTCATTGGCAAATACAGCACAGAGGACATTGTCTGCGAATTGGGATGTCATCAAAGAGGAGGTGGTGGAGGCTCATTTCCTTTATTACTCTCTTTTAAATTTAGGTTTTCTAAAGCAACATCTAAAGGCATAATATCTACACAGCCCATAGCACCAAAATCTGCCATCTCCCCCCGGTCATCCTCGTCTGAGGAGGAGCTCTCTTCGCGCACTAAAGTGGACAGAAGGAGCTCTTGGACAAACAGGCTGCGGTCTGCGCGCTCGCTTTCCATGGACTGGCGCTCCGTCTCAGACATTTTAGGATCATTTAACCTGCAGTTAAAAAGAAAAGATCTTATTGGACAAAGGTCAATGCACCATGGCACCGTCAAGTTCTGCAACGTACACTGCGCAAGCTCTGCAGGTGGCAGGACTCAGAGCCTGAGGCACATTATTGGAACACCTTGCTCTCATCTGTCACCTTTATTTTGTTGAGATTAATTCTCACACTTGTTACCCTGAGGCGCAATCTATGCTTTAATTAACATTCAGTGAGACAAATTTAGATTTCTCACGCTTCCTTCAGAGACAACTGCAGTGAAAATTCTGAGGAAAACAAAATTTCTAACTGCAGTGAAAATTCTGAGGAAAACAAAATTTCTAACTGCAGTGAAAATTCTGAGGAAAACAAAATTTCTAACTGCAGTGAAAATTCTGAGGAAAACAAAATTTCTAACTGCAGTGAAAATTCTGAGGAAAACAAAATTTCTAACTGCAGTGAAAATTCTGAGGAAAACAAAATTTCTAACTGCAGTGAAAATTCTGAGGAAAACAAAATTTCTAACTGCAGTGAAAATTCTGAGGAAAACAAAATTTCTAACTGCAGTGAAAATTCTGAGGAAAACAAAATTTCTAACTGCAGTGAAAATTCTGAGGAAAACAAAATTTCTAACTGCAGTGAAAATTCTGAGGAAAACAAAATTTCTAACTGCAGTGAAAATTCTGAGGAAAACAAAATTTCTAACTGCAGTGAAAATTCTGAGGAAAACAAAATTTCTAACTGCAGTGAAAATTCTGAGGAAAACAAAATTTCTATGCCCGGGGAAGCATAATTTCCTTAACCAGGGTAGTAAAATTGGGAAATGTAGCAACCCTGGTCACAAAAACAAAACCCGTAGTGACTAGAATATTCAACTGAAAAGAATTCCTAGAAGTTCCCTTGACATTTCTCTCTGAGTCCATGTACTTTTTCCTGAGATGAAGACATATCCAGAAGCCTGACAGGGCAAGAACACGCCCCCCACCCCTGCATTTCTCCTGCCAAGGACCTGGGAAGCCGGGCTGAGCTGAGGTTTAACGGCCCAGAGTGCTTATCTGCCTGGAGACAGGATAGATGTTAAGAGTCGAATTCTCGTTATTAACCTCTTAAATGACTTAAGCAAAATTCTGCTTAGTTTCAGTACTGATTTTATTTCTCTACATTTTTAGTGGCAAAGAAAGGAAAACCAGCTAGGGCACTGGAGTCAGGAAAAGTAACCAAATGGAGAAGTGGGCGACAGTGCCGGGGCGCCGCAGGCATGCTGGGCGGGAGCCTCCCGCGGAGCGGGGCACCTGGAGCCCCGGAGGCCTGCCCCACGTCCTCGGGCGGCGCCTGCCCTGCTGCCGCCCTCCCTATGCTGAACTGCACAGGGGCCGCCCGGAGGCGCAAGGAGGGGCACGCACTGGGCATGCACGAGGGGTCAGGCTCTGCTCTAAGTGCGTTTTGTATGTATTACCTCTTACCTCCTATGAGGAAGCCCTGTTATTATCAACATTTTACAGGAAGAGGAAACTGAAGCTGAGGTTAAGTGACTGGCTCAAAATCTCATAGCTGTCAAGTTCAAAACCACTGAATGATTAGATCTATGGCTCAGAAAACAAATGAAAAGATCTGAATTTCGGAACTTGAAGAAAGCAAAAGTACATGGAAGGTAATTACATAAAAAGCCATTAAATCTACATTGAAAGAAAACGACTGATGACATTTACGGTAAAAACCAAATTAAGAATATCATAAGAGCCCTGGCTGAAGTAGTGCAGTTGTTGGAGTGTTGATCCATGCACCAAGAGGCCCCAGGTTCGATTCCTGGTCAGCGCACATGCCAGGGTTGCAAGCTGGACACCCCGTGGGGGGCAGGCAGGAGGCAGCCGACTGATGTTTCTCTGCCCCCCCCCTCAAGAAATGAAATACATTCCACATCCTTAGTTTTGGAAAAGGCTTCCAAGTAAAGAAAAAAAAAAATCTAAGTCAAAGCCACTATAGAAAATTAAAGAATGTATAAAGGAATATCTATATAGTAAGCAGGAAAACCAGAAACAGATAGGCTGAGGCGTCAACACTTTGTTTGCAGAACATGTAATTCCAATATTACTGTTTCAATTTTTTTAGGAAATAAC